CGTTTTGAACGCGAAAAATGATTAAATTGATGAAAATAGCCGAATTGTATTATCGTGAAATTGTATAGCGGATAACTCGGATTTTCCTAAAAGATGTTTAAAAATTTAAACTTTGTCCCATTACGTGTCAAAATTACCTGAAAATAGTAATATTTTCAAAAAAGTTTATATGAAATGATTTAATGATCTGTTATTGACGATTATATTGTGTTAATAAAAACTTGTTTGCTTCATTATTGGTGTATAATAAATTTAAAAAAAATCACTTTTGCAAATTTTGAAAACTCAGCGATTTTAATGAAAATCTCTTCCCGCAATTTTTAAAACGCACTTTGAAGAATATAATTTTAAGTAATATTAACATAATTTTAAAATGGATATAAAATGAATTAATCGAATGCATTTCAAACTACATCAATTATTTTGTGCAAGCATAATTGGCAACCTCTATTCATGTTCAGGTAGATGATACGACTGAGAATACCCAGGGGGCTGTGTTTCTTTGAATGATATTGTAATTCAAAGAAATTTCTTCAGCAATTAATAAGGAAACCGATACATGAAGATATCATAGATCTGCAGACTTGAAGAAGGGGCGATTTGGTGTAAAAGAAATAACGATTTCAATAATTTGTTAACATATGCAATAGTGTATTGTTTGACGAACGCATAACGATGGCTATTATTCACGAGTTGATGTTTATGCCACTCGCTCCTTCGTCGCTCGTGTCGTAAACATCAACTCGTGAATAATAGCCATTATGCGCGAGCAGACTGTGCTTTCTCTACAACCTTGAAATATTCAGAAAAGATTTTGAACAGATTGTTTTATTTGGAACTAAAGTATAAGGGTTACCTGCATAAAACGGTGTTGTAATATAAGTAACATAATTAGTCTGAATTTATTTTCTGACAAAATGAATGGTCAAATATTGTTAAGAAAGTCTTGTAAAGTATGCCAAGAAAACATTATCGCTAAAAGAATTCATCCAATTACTCTTTCTCCACTTCATAAATGTTGTATGTGATTGTTCATAATACTTCCTTGATTTTTCTGGCAATAATTGTAGTGTTGGCTTTTTCTGAATTTCAGTTGGAGTAAAACTTTCATTATCTATGTCACTGGCTTGAAGATTATTTTTATTTGAATGATCAATTCGAAATGTATCGAGAAAGGAGTACAAGAGTGTCCAGGTTATGTACATGAAATTGCGAAATCATCCACTGGGATCATCCACTTCACAAAACAAATTACAAATTGGAATCCACGGGGTGTGTAATCGATGTCATTCGTCGAATAATTATACAGCAGGAATACGTGTATTATTAAGGTGTCGTAGAGAAATATATATTTCCCTACTAGCTCTTCACGTCACAACCACTGCGTCACACAATCTTCCTCCCTGCTCATAAGTCAGAGTAACGGCCATTGTGCATGGTTATGTCCAGGTTTATTTTCAAAGTCCTTGCTGATCCTCCTAGTTGAACGTTTTCGCAGCGAATGGACCTCTGGGCGGATCTTGGAGGTAGTGAAGCGACGTCGTTAATGCGGAGCATGGCGAAGCGTTACTGCAATCGACAGCACAATCGATCTTCTGCGCATGTGCAGTTAGTTTTCGCATCACTTTTCTGCAACTGCGCATGCGCAAAAGATCGAGATTGCAGTCGATTCCTTTGGGCTATATCGTGCAAAAGCTCCTTATTAAAATATTTTACCAAACATAAATGTTCAAAATTAAAATACCGATGTTAATGCCAAAAATCATCGATATTTTATAGCTGGTTTAGTAATCTATGACATGAAATTCGGGCGCAACAAAATGTTATTTGACAGTGGTTGTATTAACTAATTTTAGTTAAGATTTAACTAAAAAAAAAGCTTTAAAAATATAATATTGGACAAAGCTAGGCCTGAGCGCCAGTCATCTGAAGAGTCAGTCCTCACTTCGTCGAAGAAGGGAACGAGAAGAAACGGGAGCCCCTACTACCATGGCGCATGCGTTGACCACCTCTCCACGTGCAAAATTGAACGAAGAAAGGTGTAGAGAGATCAGGGCACCGGGATCATCGCGGACGAGATCAAGTCTGCTCCATGAAGGTAGTACACACAGTTCCTGTCGTTCGAATACAAACACTGACAGTGTCGGACCGTGATAGGTGGCTCAGGGCATCAACTGATGTCACTCCAGTGTCTCTGACCGGGAAGCCCTAGGCTCGAGTCCCAACGGTGACAGGAATTTCTAAAATAGCGAAGCGAATGTAGTCGCTGTCTGGTGGAGAATTCTACCGGCCGGCTGTTCTGATCCGTAGTTTTTCGTGATTTCTCGGATCAACACCAAGCGAATGCCGAAGCACTACTCTAACAAACGATCCACGGACCGCACGCGATCTACCCTTCCTCTTTCTTGTCCTTTCCTCTTCCTTTACCTACACATACACTAACATACACTTCCCTACCACATCCTGGGAGACCGGTCGGGAGCTTAGAGCTTGTCCTGACTGGGGCGATACTCCAATGGTAGGAGATAAGTGGTTGGGAAAATCCCGCTAGTCGACGGGAGGTCCGCCCAGGATCTCCCCATCCAGCTGGGGAAACCACCGCCACCTCTCGAGGAAAAACATGCACTATACTTGCCGGAATAATGACGTTGGCAGTTTACGCGGTCGGAATCACTAACAATCAATCAATTAATCAATCTGACAGTGTCGATCGGTTATTATTTCATGTGTTAACTTTTACAGCCGACCTGGATTACCGAGGTGGCGCGTTCGAGTCTCGCCTTAGGCATGGTTGTTTGTCCCTTGTCTCTCATGAATGTGTTGTCGCAGAGGGTCTCGGGTTCTGCTGACACCAGATCAGAGGAGCCCGTAAGTTTGTTGGTGCCTAGCGTATGGTCGAATACGCGCCCCATTGAGACTTAAAAAGTAATCGGCTGGATAAAAGCCCTAGAAAAATATCATCGATATCACACACACATCTGAGTTCAAAACATGGTTGTTAAAAAACTTCGGTTTAAAAAACATCAATGTTTAAAACACCGATGTTTCTACAAAAAACAGGGATGTTTTGAAAACATCAACATCGATGTCGCATCCCTTCTTCGAGGCTGCTACTGGCCAGGAACAGCAGGCGCGCGTGACTCCACGGGGCAGCTGCGGCGCGGCGGCACCGGCCCTGGCGCGCGGGCAGGGGATGGCGGCGGCGGCGGCGGCGACGTCACTCGCCTCAGATGGCGCTGCGGCGGCGGCGGCGGGCGTCCTTGCCACCGCGCGCGCGGAGAAAGCCTCCGCGCCGCCGCCGCCGCCGCTGCCATCACACACTGGTCCGACATCGGCCATTAGGCGCCTGCGCAAAAGTAAAAATAGAAATCTAATGTATTAACCAGGAAATTTTAAAAAAAGTGGGTGGGCGATAGAAAGGCATTATTTACGGACCAATTGAATACAGACCAATTTTGAAAGGTTTCGTTCCTCTGTGAAATTTCCATTTTCGTGTTTTTGTAAAAAAGAAAAAAAATGATAGAAAGTTTTCGTAGTCTTTATATGATTTTGGGAACGGAAGAAGCTATTTTAAAATTTAAGTATTCGACAACTTTTTTACATCTCTTTTTGCCAAATCGGACTTATTTCCAAAATGTTGTGCCAAAGTTTAAAAATATGTGAAACAATGTAAGCTTTAAAAATACTGACTTTCATCTCATGTTGATGGCCTTATCTAATATTATTCTTTTCACTGAGGTGATAGTTGAGGAGAAACTAGTTCATGGCGTTCGCATTCGTAGAATCGTAAAAATGCAGCAAGGATCGTCACCACCGAGCGGTGAAGCTAAAGTTCAACTGGGAACACCAATATTTAATTTATATGAACCCTCTAGGCAAAATTGTATCAAGAGTGACGACTTGCACTAAGAAGATACTTCGAAGCTCTGAAGAGCCTTGGCGTGGATAGCAAGTGGCGGCTTTCGATGAAGTTCGTACCGGCATTTTTGAAATTTCTCTGCACAGTATCCCGGTGGTGGCAGAAATTCATTTTTATAAAATATGTATATTGAGCAACTGCCTTGCGACTTAAGATGCTACAGTTCTGTTTTCTTAATAACTTACTAAAACTAAATTTTTGCTTAATATAATTGTACAGATTACGTGTAAGCACTTAGGCGTACCGAACTTGGATTTTTCCACTAAATACTAGGGAATCTGAAGAAAAATGGACTTGTGTTTGTGTATTTTCTCTCTCATTCAACCATACGTTGAGAAGACAGATGTGGCGGCATCCGCTCTTCTTAGTTGGAACGAGAGGCTGCGAGTTCAAATCCCGCATAAGGCATGACATTTTTTGCCTGGTGATTGCAGTTGAGTTTAAAACCAGCAAATATCCCATGCGATCGACCATTTTCATTAATTTCTATTTAAGGACCTTCAACTACCAAGGTAACTCAGGGCTACGAGTGGAGCCTAAGCTGGAAAATTGGGAACATAGCCCCGACCTAAACAAATTACATACAAACAATATGCACATCTGCAGGGGCGTCCAGAAGGGGGCCGGGGGCAGCTGGTGCAGCTTGCCACAAGCCCCGAATTAATTAGGACTCCCGATTTTATTTTAATTCAAAATCAATGAAAATTATATTTAACCCTAAGCCAAATTTAACACTAAGTTATTTATAATGCATAAAGAAATGAATTCTGTTTATGGGTTGGTGAAGGAGATACTCTTTTGTTTGAAATAAGGGGCTCCGAGGATCAACTGCCCCTCACTTTCTCTGGGCGCCCTTTCGCACCTGTGCGCGCGTCAGCGAATAATCAAATACAGAATGCGCGCGCTTTGTGAGCGGTTCGTGCCCACTGCCGTCCGCCGCCGCCGCGCGACGCGGCGCTGCGTGGCTCGGGCCTGCCTGACTCACGGCCGCGGCGGGTGGGGGGTCGGGAGCGCGGTCGCAGCGGCGGCCGCAGCGTGCTCTCTCGGGCGCGCGCGCGCCAGTCCACGCCTGGCGACCGGGCCGGCCGCGACGCGACGCGAGTGACGTGTGGCGACGCGACGGGGCAGAGGCGGGATGGCGGTGCTGCTACGCAACGTGACCAACGCGCTGTGGCACGCGTTCGCCGCCCTGGCGCCGCCGGGCTCCGCGCTAGTGGCCAAGTCGCGCCTCAAGGTGGGTCCGCGTGGGCCGCGCCCCCTCCCCCCTCCCCCGCGCGTGCGTGCGTGCATGCGCCTGCCTCGGTGGCTGCCTGCGGGGCGTTGGCGCGGTGCTCTCGGGAGCTTCACAGCCTTGGCTCGCAGGTGCCACATTCTCCGACGAAAGGTGTTCGGAGTTACAGGAAACCCCTTGAGTTCCTCCGCTATCGATTATCGGATCGAATACTGTACTGCAAATGTTTAGGGGGATTCTTTCAATGCTAACCAATATCTTGTATAGGTCCTAAAGGGTCCCAGTTGTAGGTTTTATTGTCGTGTTCTTACTTTTCCTCATTTTCTGCTTTATTTCTTTACTTTTACTCTTATCTTCTTTTACTTGTGGTTAGTTTTGGACTTGACGTTGACATTAGACTAAGATCTAGTCTGGATTATTAACATCCGCAGATGAACAATTGATAAATTATTCAATCAAAGATGTTCTGAATCTAATTGTAAAAATAATATCAAAAATGTTGAATATATCAAGTTTGAAACCGCCTCACAATCGAACTAGAGTGAATTATGTACCGAATAGAAGGTATTTTCAGAATCTATTTATTTTTCCTTCATTATGATGTTTCTTCTGATACCTTTGTGGGTTAGGGTGCTATAAATTATCAATTAGACATTTCGAAATAATTGTCAGTAGAATGAAATACTAATTTTAAACTGAACATTCTTAACTTCTTCAAAAATCAGAAAAGTATCTTCTGAAAAAAGAACAATATCAATAATATTATATTTGCTTAATTCCCAATGCACGAATAAAATCGAATAGAAACGAATACGTTGTGTTAAAACGCGAGTGTCATTGGTGTGGAAGGACACGGACGCTTTACAAAAGTGAATGCATTTAATTTGCATTTTATCAAGTGGGTCATTTGCCTTTTGGTCTGAAGTAATTTTCTCGTAGGTAAGAAGCAGCGAATAGTTGATCATAAAATGGAAAAGTATGGAATGGGAAACCATTCTTATTGCCTGGTGACTTATCGCTTTTGTACTTATGTTTACTACCCGTTGAGAATTGATGTCACGATGCGTAACGTGAATCATGCGTTATTCAACACTGAAGTCATGATACTGAATCATGCGTCTAAATTCCTGAGGAATTCCAGGAGTCAGTTCTTTTCTTTTCATTGTACTCTTATTTGAAGGGAATCCGTTCCAACATATATCTCTCTCTTTCCCCCCTCTCCCTCTCTTTCTCTCTTTCTTTCTCATTCCTTCTCTTTCTCTCTCTCTTCCTCGCTTTCTTTCTCTCTTCCTCGCTTTCTTTCTCTCTTCCTCGTTTTTTCTCTCTTCCTCGCTTTCTTTCTCTCTTCCTCGCTTTCTTTCTCTCTTTCTCTCTCTCTTTTCTTTCGGTCTTTCTTTCTCCCTTTCCCACTCTTTATCTCTCCCTTTATTTCCCTATTTCTTTTTCCCTCACTCTTTCTCTCCCTTTCTTTCTCCATCTCCCTCTCTTTATCTCTCTCCTTTTCTTTCTTTCCCTCTCTCCCTCTCAAAGCAAATGTTTCAAACTCTGTTGTTTCTTAATTCAACTTTAAAATTATTCGGTGAATATAATTCTTTCTGATGTTGTAGAATTTGTTTATTATAGTTTTGTTCATAAATAACAGAACAAAATAAGTGGGTGAGGGATTGATGAATTGCATCAATAGTACATTGATGAATTGAGTAAATTGTAACATTTCTATTACAGTTGATCTTACTCATTGGTGGTTTTCATTGACTAGTATGTGTACAGCATATGAGATCACATCCTCACATCTCTGTGGTGGCATCACTCTACCATGAAATGCAAAGCATCCTCTTGCCGTAATCCAACTAATTCAGCGATAGAAATGAAGGGGCCCCATCGGAGTTGGGACTAGGACAACGTGTCAAGGGCGAACGCGCTTGCCGGCACCTGGAACTAGTGACTCGGGTGTGTCCTGTTCTAGGAGCCTCTGAGGGGGTTTTGCTTACCGTGTGTTTTTTTCTTCCATTTCTTCTTTCTACTTTGCAACAGTTCTGGAATTCATAATTTTTATCAAAACTTATATAATATAAACAACAAAAAAGAAAAGGAATTTTGCACAGTACTCTAATTTGATAGTTGTTATTTTTCATGTTTCATGTCAATTCGTTTTCTTCCTTTGCAAAGTGGGTATCTTGAAATACCTTATAACGCATACTGATGTACATCTAAATTTAGCTTCTAAGTATGCCCTTGCAAGAACACTATCTTTAAAGTAATGACACTGTTAAAGGCTCTGAAATGGGGAAGTGATCGTGTCGCCAGAACGATGCAGTTAGGTAACTTCCTGAAGTCGCTGGTCACGAGAAACTACTACTACTAAACCTGCTGGAAGGCGGCGGCGGGCGAGGCGCGTTTCCTGCAACTGGTTGCGCGGCCCATCCTGGCATGCGGTCAAAGAACTCGGCGAAGTGAGGAGTTGCGCCTTGTCCTTCTGGGACTGTCACCATTAGATTCCACCACATGCGTCTTTCGATGCCAATATTTTGAGTTTCTTTTTCACTTTGCCCCGTGAAAATGTAAAAGCTGAGATACTGTGCTGACTGTGAACCATAACGGAGATCGTCAAACCTTAGAAAAATGCCGCTGGAATAGTGACAACCATGTGCTATTATTTTTGCCAATCTCTTTCGACCTAATTAATCTTTGGATGGAGAAGTTGCAGAATTTGTTAATAGTTGTAGTAAAATGTCAACTGGTGTAAAATGATGCTTCTTGTACTAGTGCCATTAAAGAACAAAGATTTTTGTGATGGAATTTCGCATAAAATTGTGCATATATTCCATCCAATTTTTCTGAAAGTAGTCAATAAACTTAAACTGTTAGAAGGTGCAACTATAATATATACTAATTTTCAACACATTTTAGAAATACTATTCTAAAGAATATTCGATTTTCAAAGAAACAATAATCAATCGATCAATTTATCTGTTTTACCTCTACATTAATTGATCGAGAAAGCGCAAAGAAATATGATAAATCGAGTTCTGCTTGAAAAAGGATTTTTATTAAGAGTGGGACACACTATTTTTGATTTATTAATGTACAAGAAATGATCAACATTTTATAGCACTATTCGGCATTAATGGAAGTGGCAGCTGGTAAAGATTTTGAAAGCGATTCCTCATGATAATACGCCTGACAAAGACTAATATGGAAGTATCTGTTTGCTATGACTGGTTGTCGTTTCTATGATCAGTTGATTCTCGGAACCCCACTCAGCTGAGTCAAGTGTGTTCACCATGGGAGCAGGTTGACCGTGTGACGTTGCAGCATCTGGACTCCTTAATTCGCGTCTCCTTCCGGATACATCCGTCGCCTGGCTGGGCCTCGTTATCTGGCTCCATGTGCCTCGGGCCGCCAGCGCGGCGCGGGTCGCTCCAAAGGAGGCCGTGTCACGGCTGGAGATAGGCGCGTCCGCCCGCCCGCCCGACTGAGTCAGGCTGGTGGTGGAGGCTGACGAGAGGTCGTGAGGACGGGAAGGCTGCTCTCTTAGGCAGAAAGAGAAAGAGAAGGGAAATGGTGGGTTTATAAAAAGGGGAAAGGAAAAGATGTTGGAACATATTCTTGTTTTGGGAAAATTTGGAAATGTCCAGTTGTGTTGAGTCAGCGGTTGTGTTAGCGGTATAGTAAAATACGAAGTAAATAATTCGCACTAACAGCGAACCTTCGATTTTATTCATACGAAAAGGAAGCAATTGCTTATGAAAAGTAGTAGACATTACTTTTACTCGTGAGCAAATGATCTGGAGTACTTACTCATTTTTATTCATATCATCCCATGACTGAGAACCTAACTGTTCTAAGTCCATTGTACTAATTTTTTCAGGGTAGCTATTTAAAGTTTTTGTATGTAGTGGGCTAGTATGGAATGGGTTTGTTGCAAGGTTATGGAGTGGAATATTTACAATTTGTTTTTTTTACACATATCTCTACAGGAGCATAAAACTCAATGCAACAGATATCTTATTTTGTTATTGAATTCATAACGTGCCTTGACTAAAATAACTACTTATCATGTCATATGGTTTTCCAGTGTTAAATTTAAAAGGTCTTAAGAACCTACGAATTCTTCTTTATTTTAATACCTAGATTCAGATTAGTGAGAATATTTGCCAGTTTTCCGTGTAGTAAGTGATTGTTAATCCCTGCAGGTTGCTAGTCCGGTAACCCATAAATCACTTTTATGATTCGAAGCCAGGTGCGAATAAGTTTAATCGTAAACAACTTGCCAATTTTCTGAAACTCGCCAAACCATAAATAATTATTCTACGAGTAGTTATGAAGATAATTGATATACATATCAATGTTCTGTGACACACTGTTAAGAATAAATGTAGTACACTTAAATTAATGATTTATTGGAATTTTAATGGAATTGTTAATGGAATGAATTAATAGAATTTTTGGAACAAATATTTTTCTCAAGACAATATTAACATGGAATTATTTCACTAAATTCAGTGGTTGATTTGAGCTCTGACGACTTTTTGTTAATGTTCATTTTTCATTAATAATCAATTTGCAGAGAAACCTGAAATAAGAAATTCTAATTGGCTGCAGACCAATGGTGACAGCGGCTGGTGCCGTACGAGACAGGATCAAAATGTATGATGTTTATGAAATATTTATTCTAAATTCTGTCCGCAAAAATGATGTATTTAGTAGGCATACGCAACGAAAAGTTGTGGTTGTAAAAGTTTACATGACCTCACCAATCAGAAGTTTCATTTATATTTATTTCAATAATCTTAATTGGTAGAAATTATTTAAAAAATTGAATTAAAAACGCATTACATTAATTTACGGAGAGAGTGAGGTTCAAATTAATTTTGTAGTTGTTCTTTCCAACTTATATCACCATTACTGCACCGTCATTCATATCATACCAAAATAATCACCTAGTCATCCAATCATTCATTCATTCATTCATTCTTGGCATGATCCGGGCTGACTGGCAT